CAAGGAGGAAGAGTCATCATCAGGTGCTTAGATAAAATCCTCATTTCAGATTTGTTTCTGATTTTGTTTGATTTCAATTTTCAACGATGATGATGATGTCTTTTGGTGAAATTAGGGTTTTAGCCATTGATGATACTCAAGTTCAAGTGTATCAAACTCTGTAACATCCATTTCATTAAAGCTTAGTGTTCCTTCAAATTGATTTATCACATTTGAATTGAATTTTTCTTGGTGAAGTTTTGGGTGAAACTTGTTTATAGGCTTTAGCCATTGATTGATACTCAAAAAAGACTCAAGTGTGTCAAAATGAAAACCTCTTTTAACTTCCATCAAGAAAACTTATTATTAGGTCTGTTTTTCAATGTGTGACATTTTTTGGTATAAGTTTTTTTCTAGCTAACCTTCAAATGATTATGACATTTGCATTTTATTCTTTATCGAGATTTTGGCGTATGCATTTAGGAGAGACAATTGCAAGATTTCTCGATGGACTCACCACGTAGCTAACATTTAAACCACAAATACACTTTGTGGTCGTTACTCGTTTCGTTAGTAGAAATCTCATTCATTATAATCGTTTCACATATTCATGGACTCAAATAAAACCCAACGAATAATAATTGTCAACAAAATGTATATAATAATCACAGAAGAAGATTACAAATCGAATCACAAAATTTTAGATAAGAGCAACCTCGAACACCACACAAAATGCACCCATCGTTTTCATGTTTTCTTCATATAATAAACACAGACACATACATGAAAGAAAAAAAAGTATACAAGAATTGAAATAAATGGGTTGTACATCGTCTAAGCAAGTGAAAGCCAACGTCGTCGCCGACGTTTACAAACCACCACCGTCGAGTTTCGCCGTGTTTGATATCAACGCCATCGAAGAGCCATGGCTAAAACTCGACCAAGAAGACGATGAAAAACCCGCACGCACCGCCTTACCAATCGCCGTTGATGATGATGATGACAACGCTCCTAAAACATGGGATGAGATCAGCAAATCTCTAGAACCCCACCTTAAACCGACCGCCGTTAAACCGCCGGAAGTTATCTCCGTCAAACCTCCGGCGACTCCTCCACGACGGCTTCCGCGGAAGAGCGCATCGTTCCACACGTTAGACGAGCTCGAATCGAGAGCTAGAAAAGAGATGGCCGCGCAAAACCCGAAGACGACGTTCAAGCTTAAGAAAACAGAGTCCATGTCCGAGTTAAGACCAGAGTCAGACCGGACAGAGTCGACAACTCAGACGTACTCAGGGTTGTCGACTCGGTCGGTGAAGGAGAACATATTCGTGTTGAGAGACAGAGAACGGAGGGAGAAAGAAGGGAACAAGAAACCGGTGATGAACTGGGACCCACTCAGGGAGTTCCCGGAGAAGTGTCCTCCCGGAGGAGGCGACGGATTGGTTGTCTACACGACGTCGTTGCAAGGAGTGCGTCGCACGTACGAGGATTGCATGCGTGTGAGAGCGATCATGGAGCAGCAAGGAGTTGTGGTGGACGAGAGAGACGTGGCTTTAGACGCCGGAGTGTTGAGCGAGCTCAAGGAACTTCTCCAAGACGAAGCGACTTCGGTGGCGCCGCCGAGAGTGTTTGTGAAAGGAAGGTACCTCGGAGGAGCGGCGGAAGTGACGGCGATGAACGAGAACGGGAAGCTAGGAAGAGTGTTGAGGTGGGCACGTGTGGAGAGAGTAGGGGAGGAAGGGAGACAAGCGTGTGAAGGGTGCGGAGGAGCGAGGTGGTTGCCTTGTTTGGAATGTGGCGGTAGCTGTAAGGTTGCTGCGGTGGTGGTGACGGTGAAGGGTGAAGGATGGGAGAGGTGTGTCAAGTGTAATGAGAATGGATTGATACGTTGTCCTGTTTGTTTTGTTAATTAAGGGGAGTTCAAGAAGACTAAACACACAACACGAGATATTTATATTATATTTGTATGTGAGAGAGGTTTGATTAAGATTTCTTATGGTGGAATGTTTGAAAATGATAAAAACAAAATTGCTCAGCTTGCTAAGGTCGTCTCTCATTTGTATATATGTTTATGGTTTTGATTATTTGTTATATATCACGGTTTCTACTAAAGAGTATGAAAGTCGCACTTCTTTCACAAAAAATGGTGGGAACTAGATGCTTATTAGTTCTACGTTCTTTCTTACCTAGAAATCTTTTGCTCGTGAGATGATGTCTTGCTTCACTATAGAATAAATAATCGAATCAAACCGAACCTAAATTTTTATCGGTTCTACAATCATCCGAACCAAGAAGATATCCAAACCCGAACAGAGATGCCAGTTTTCAGTCTAGTCCCTTCTAGATCACGTCTGGTTTGGATTCTAAACTCAAAATTTTAAGTAGAAGCGATTGATTGATAAGTCCAGTTTTGGCTTATATTAGAGAAAGGAGAATTATAGTCTCTGTCTCTATGGATTCCATCAGCAATTTGCCAGATGAGATTCTTGGCAAAATCCTGTCTCTACTTCCGACAAAAGTTGCTGCTTGTTCTGTCCAAGAGGTGGAGGAATCTTGTAGACGAGCTTTTGATTTCGATGAATCCATGCGTTTTTATATGTATCCAGACAAAATCCATGAATCAACAAGCTTCTCTGATTTGGTGGACAAGACACTTGCTCTTTCTTCTCCCATCAAGAAATTCTCTCTGAGCTGTGATCACGAAGACGACAAATTTCGTGTCAACCGTTGGATTCACACTGCGTTGGAACGTGGCTGCTTGGAGTTAAATTCTGCATTATTCACGAGCAACAAACTCGTTAAACTCACAATATCATATGGATTTTTTCTTGATGCTCGTCTTCCTTGTGGAGGATGTCTGTTTCTCCCTGCGCTCAAAACACTTTCTCTCGTTTCGGATTCGTTTGACATGATTAAGTTCTTCATCCATGGCTGCCCCAAGTTAGAGGAACTATTCGTATGTATTTTGTTTAGGCTTTATAGCCATAAGCCTAAGACACCAAGTCTTGACGACTCTAATTATGGTAATCGTGTTGTTTTCGATTCGCTTGTCAAAGCTAGACTTGATATTCAAGCATCCGAAATGGAAATCTAAAATTTTTTGTGGGATGAACTCCATGGCAATGTTACTAGTTTGATAAGCAACGTTAAGACCCTTCACTTGTCTCCTCATTCTCTAGAGGTCAGTTTTGCTAC